TTAGAGATAGCACTACAGGCTTCAGGTCTTAAAATACATTTGACTAATATAGGCAACTTGGTGTACTGTCTTTCTGGTCTCTCTTGAAAAAAGAATCAATAAAAAGAATCCCAGTACCAAGTGAAATCATCCCCTACCTCTGAGAAAGCCAAAATGCCACCAGTTAGAAGGCTGCTCACCAGAAGCAACCAAATACAAATGACAACTTGCTCTGTAAAGAATGATGGAAGACAGAGGACAAAATAAAGTCTCTTTTTCACATTTCTCCTAGCAGTATTGTTCCAACTCCTACAGTTCCTACTGTTCTTACAGCCTTGCAAATGCAGTTGTCATCTAGCAACATCTTAACAGCTGTTTTACCTTAACATATGTCACTTTCCCCAAATTCTCTTCTTCCCTATTTACTTGTACTGTCCAATAGTTCTAGACTTGGAAAACAATGGCGCATACCTGTCACTTATATAAAAGCCATATAGAATTTCAAAAAGCAATTCACTTAGGTGCCTCAATTATCTTCAAATTCAAATAAAATGTGAAGGAAAAGGAGATAAACAGACACAAGCCATAACAAAAGTAATTCCTTCCTTCAGTACCTCTATGTTCCTAAACCAACAACTTTGCGCCTAGCTCCTCTCTATATTAATTCAGTCATCAATTTCTACTGCCTTCCATCTCTGCAAAACACTTTATTACTTTCTGTTAAAGGAAAATTAACAAAATAACATCATTATCTTTTGTTCAGCTCAGGTTTGCTTTCCTACTCCAACCACATAAGGAGAACCTCTCATCTCCAAGCTGTGTCTTCTGGCACCTTAATCTACCCAGGAAAAAATCAGATTCATTTTCTGAATTCCTTTTTTCTCTCATTAACCTTTCTCATTACTCTCATCTTTACCTTACTGAAATACACCTCTCTGTCAATTTAAAAAGAAAAAAAAAGTGGCTTTGACTATATTAACTACGCAACTTCATTTTTTTCTGTTGCACAGCATGTCCACCCAGAGGACCCAGCCCTCTCGTTTCATCAGATTCTCTGCAAACAAGCACCTTCATGCTTTTCCCCACGCCTGAAGGAGCTCCTCAGGTTCATTCTTATTGCTACTTTTATCTGCATTGAAGTATTCCTTTAAAACACTGCTCTCCTATGATGCCTGCAAAAAATTAAAATACTGATTTTCATTCTACTCTTATATATTGTTTCCTAGTGTTCCCTCTGTGCCTTGTATGCACTAGATTCAACTCACATCAAACAAGTTATGTGGCAGACCACCATATTCTCAGTCCAAAAATTTATCAGACTACGTTTGGTAAATATCTTGAGCCAATAGAAGCAAGCACTATAAGAATGAAATAAATGCACAGCTGCACCAGTGTATAGCCAAATGTATAGCTGCCTCTACTACAGCATTTTATAACCTATATGCACTACAACATTCCAGAAAAATTCAAGTTCAGTTCCTGTAGTGCATGGGAAAAGTTTCTTGCTGTGACAAATCAGACTTGGACAGTGTCAGCAGTGTGGGGCACCATGCTTCTCCCTTGCTGAAATTCAGCCACTGACCTCCAACAGCCAAGTTTTAGATTTTAGGTCATTCATACATCAAAGCCATAGCATTCCCCAAAAGTAAAAGGTAAAAATAAGAAATTAAGCCAAGTATGAAGGAAGAGTGTTACTTCTTAATAAAAAGACTTTAACCCTTTGTTTCTTTAAGGTAAATCTTGGGGAAATAATTAATTACAGATGATCTCTCTCACCCTCCTTTTTAAAAGACTTGAAAAAAAAAGGAAAAAAAAAAAGGGCCAAACAAGCATTGTGTAACATATAGCATAACATTTCTTTCATCTGCACTGGTAAATAATAAAACATGCAAATTTTCTCATGCCTATCAACAAAGTTATGAATCCATTCTGGTTTTATTTATTGTCATAAGTGGCAGTAAACTGCATAAACGATATTGCAGTGGCCTTGCTGTATTATCTTTAAATAAAAGACTACTCTTCTTGAAGAAATGCCATCTCATAAGAACTAGAACTGAAATGCAGAGTCAGAAAAGTGTAATGTCATATAAGAAATTACCCTCATAAATATATAGTCTGAGCTAAAGGAAATTTTATTTCTTTGCCCAAGTAGCTTCATTTCTTAAATATTCTGCTAAAGAAAGTAGATTATAGAGATGTGTATCCTTATTAGTATGTCTCTGACCCCTGACAGTGTGCTGCAAACTATTAAAATCCAAACTGCTTTTAAATATCTCACATGTGTATTTACAAGTGCAAGCACTTTTTCAGTTTTCTCTTTTTCTTCATTAAGGATGTGATACTGTTTAGAAAAGCAATGGTAAAACAATTGAAGTCCAGCTGTAACATTAAGTTCTCATGATCTGCAATTAGACAAAAGTCCGTAAGTCTTTGCCATCTGGTAATGACTTCTGTGATCTGAACTACATGAAGTGAGTTTTGCATGTTCATTCCCTGTCACAAACACATGAAAACATTGGAGCACCCTGTTTTCCTGTGTCAGTCAACTGTCCCAGGTATGAAAATAGACACAATGGTTTCATGTGATCAAACACTACTGTAACAACAGAGAATACTGAAGGAAAGGCTGGGTATTTTTTTCCTAATAGCATTCATCTACTACTAACACAATCCTTTTAAATTAGAACTTGTAGATAAAGACGTTAAGTCTTCTCTTGCTATCTCAGTAACTTAAATTTTGTCTAAGTTGCTGGCTCTAAAACCTTTATCTCTGAGGTAAAAGGGAGTGAGTTCTGTGCCAGGGTTAATGAGGGGTCAGTTTCACTCCAGATAAGTTTATACAGTGTAGTCTCCAAAAATATAATGGGAGGTGAAGAAGAGTGGGACAGCTAAAGAACAGAAAGGCAAATTGGATCAAGTAACTTGTGGAAAGTGTCTAAAATTCAGGACAATCCATTGCCAGGTTTGATGGAAGAGAAGTAATGTTTCCAAAACTGATATATTGAGAAGTAGATGAAAGCAAGTAAACAGGTATCTGCACTTAGAATGTTTCCAGGACTGCTGACAATAAGACAACAAGAGGGTAAGAGGTAGCAACAGCAACTGTAGTCTGTGCAGAGATGATAGTATCATCCTTTGTGCTCTTCTATGACTGCAACAGATTCTGAGTACAGAACACAAGAAAAATGGGCCAGTATACCAAGCCAAACAGGTGGAAGAGCAACATCATCTAAGCAGCCAAAAGATTTAGAATTGGCTAAGAATAGCTCTGGAATCCTTAAATGCAGGTAAATGCTGAGTGCCCCTGCAATAAATATGAAAAAATGTCAAAGTCAGAAGTCTCAAACACTCAAACCTGACCATCCTCACATCTCACAGCCACCACTATCCTGAATGTGATGTCTACCAGTTTCCTAGACATCCCTTAATTGTAAGGTTCAGAATGAGAAATCAAAGGCAATCTAACCAGCTCGCACAAATAGGTTCCAGCGCTTGCTGCTGCTGCTGCTGCTGCTCAGAATTCAATACTCCCAAGAGGGTAGGAGGGTGAAGAGCCATGCTGAATCAGAGCCTCTTTATCCCCTTCCTTTAAACTAATGCACATTCTTCTTCAGAAAACAATTTGAACAGAATTTTGCTGGTGGTACTGAACAGCTGCAAGAGGTGGAGGATCCTTTGATGTACATGTCTTGGAAAGAAAAGCAGGGCTGAAGGACATAAAACTTGAACACAGGAAGTTCCATACTAACATGCACATTAACTTCTTTACAGTAAGGGTACAGATGGAGCACTGGAGCAAGTTGCCCAGACAGGTGGTGGAGTCTTCTATGGAGATATTCAAGACCAACCTGGATGCCTACCTGCATGACCTATTGTAGGGTACCTACTTTAGCAGGGAAGTTGGACTCGATGATCTCTTGAATACTCTTCCCACCACTGCGATTCTATGATACTGTAAAGTCCTTTCAGTTGCCTGAAAGTTGTCTCAGTATCAAGCGTGTGTTAACATATCAATTCATGATTCCTGAATACAGGCAAAAATGGAAATACTAGCTAATGCAGGATCCTTCCATTACGAAATAATGCTCTCTCTCATGTTAGTATCAGAGTTGCATTTGGGAACGCTGGCAGAGAGGCATCACAGCCAGTACTACTGACTGAAGCCAAGGAGGACAAAAACCCAATGTTGAGTGCACTTGTGCACTTCCCTGGCTCTTTTTTTTTTTTTTTTTTTTTCCTCTCTCTCTCTCTCTGTAAGAATCAATGACAGATTTCCTCCAGTATCAGTCCTCACTGATATTGGAGCAGACCATTTGACTGACTTGAGTTTACACAGTAGATTCCACAGCAGCCAAATCAGAGTTGTGAAGGGAACCAAAACAACATTCTTATGTCCATCTTTTTGGCAGTTCTCAGGAAGTGTGTTGACACTGAGTAGTGGCTACCTGTAAAGACAGAGCTGAATATTCTGGGGTGGCATTTCAACATACATTCATTCAGAAGAAAGCTAGCTCTTGCTGCCTACCTCAGCCAGTTCTGAGGTTGATACACTCAACGGCTCAGCAGAAATGTCTAAAATTTCAACTCCCTGCATCCGGAGAGTTCAGATAAAACCCAGCAAACTCAGTTTCTCCCTCCTGTCCAGGAAAACTACACAAATTTAGTTACACATCTCAGTTAAGTAGAATCATATGTTCCAAGTGACAGAGAGACTGAAGATTATTTCTGAAGAAATTATTGAAAGATAAAAGCTTTATCAGAGAAAGGCAAACATGAGAAGGAAAATACATGTTAAAGGTGTTATTAAACACTAAAAAGCATAACATCATTTTACACAGAATCACTAAAAAGCAAGAGCAGTAGCATATAGAATTCTAAACTACAGCTGTATAGCATTAATGAGGCAGACTGTCAATTCTTAACCACAACGAACAGTGTTCATCATACAAACACTGCAGTCTAAAATTAAATGAAAAATAAACATTTTATACCACGTTACAAGAGTATATTCTAGATCATACCTCAGGTGCCAGGTATTCTGGAGTACCACAGAATGTTTTCATAGTTGCTGCATCTGTGATTCCTTCTTTGCAAAGTCCAAAATCTGTAATCTTTATATGCCCATCTTTATCCAACATTAGATTTTCTAACTGTGTGTTGAGGAAAAAAAACATTCCCTTAGTACTTCTGAACAGGATAGGCTGCTGCACTACATCAATATTTTAAATTTTAACAAAAAACTGTGATGTATCATTTCTCAACAAGACAATTGCATGTATTTGCAATATGTCATAGTATTCCATGTTATTAAAACAGATTCTGCTACGAATTCTTTTGCCCCAAGCAAAACTTGCCTACCACAGCTTTCTTCTCTTCAGTTCCTGCACAAGAGAGCACTCCACAGCTACACACAAATAAAGTGACAGTGTAAAAAATTGGGGCTTTTCACAAAACCAAAATGATCTCATCATAGAAATTTGGGGTTCCTTCCATGTAAGTTTGAAGAAGTTCCAGTTGAAAGCAGGATAATATTCCGAAGAATATGCCCATACTGCATCACAGAGTATCTTCAGCACAACTTAAAAGGAGCTTAAGGCAATACAGCGGGTAACACAACTGTATACAAAAGCCAATCTAAGACAAAATGCATTCCAGCGTTATCTATTTTTCCCAGTATATGAAAGACAAAAAATTAAGGCTGAAATTCTTCTATTAAGATATTCTAAATTATTTAACATGTTTTCAAAACATAGAAGAACATATTTCTTTGGTGAAATATGCAGAATACCATCACATTTTCCCAATTCTCCATTTCCCTCCATTTGGAGACACTAACTATTTAAGATTTGTCTGGAAATATGAGCGAAGTTGTAGTTAAAAGGGGGAAATAAAAAGGATTGGAGGTTTAAATCTCCTTCAACTATAATCATTAAGGAACACTTTTTTGAGCAATGTACCTATATATTACTGTGTCAGACTGGTTCCTTCAGCAAACAGAGAACTTCATGCTGAACCCAGACTTTTTCTCCATTAACTCTAAATAGTGCAACTTTATAATTACTTTGTGTTTCTCCCAACAGTCACTGCAAAAACAAAAATTTTGATTACTTTTTTTTTTTTTTCCCTTTTTTTTTTACCTTGAGATCACGGTACACAATCTTCCCAGAATGCAGATAGTCCAGAGCTGAGACAATTTCTGCACCATAGAAGCGTGTGCGGTCCTCTGAGAACACCCGCTCTCTCGACAAATGGAAAAACAGCTGCGGGGTAAACAGCAGGGACAGGATTGTAATAATTACTGATTTAGTGGGGGAAATTAACACAAACATAAAACACCTCTCATCACCATATTGTGATGATAGATAGTATACTCTCAGTGGACACTCAGCACTCTTAGACAGCAGCTGGCTTATCTTTTCCAGGTTTCCAAAGGGAGAAAGCGAGCTGTTAAATCAGCGTTTTAATCAATATACCAATCTTGTTTAAGGCATTCTGTTTGCTACTCATTTAACCTTCAGTTACCAGAGGAAAAAAAAAAGTACACAGCAGAAGCATTCTGCACTTCTCCCTCCACCACTTCCTCATATTTTTATTTTAAGCCACTGAGAAACATCATTAAAACACCTAGAGGCTGGTTCCACCTTCAGTTTTCAGTAAGTTAGTAACTCCTCTTTGCACTGGAAAGACTTCCAGTTCGTGAGGAGACTCTGAACAGGTGAGCTGGCATTTTACACGAACAGCAAATTCATAATGCTAATGATATTACAGTCATTAGAAAAAGCAAACAGAGAGCTGCTTAGGGCTTACAGAAAGGAATCTATGCATTTTTCTCTTTTTCTTTATCTCTTTGCAAAGTTTCCTTATTTTTTAATCTCTTTTTCAATACTTCATTATTAACACTAATTGGCAGACAATTCTTTAACTGAAATCTTTCAGAGAAAAATATTAATCATTATGTACTGCCAAAAATTTCATCTGCAATGAAAAAGAATAAGATGAAGCTAGAGTTCTGCAGGGTTATCAGTGTCTTATCAGATAAAAAATCATCCACAGAACCAAAGCAAAACACATACACATACACAGAATTTGGCTATATAATTCAAAGCCACTCTAAATTGATAGTTTTATTTAATATGTTAAGAATGCTTGGAAAACTCTTTAAATAAATATTAGTAAATATGCTTCAGTTATCTACTTAAGGCCAAACAGGTCTTCAGACCATCCTTCAAGTTACGATGGTTTTGTGTTTACCACAAAAGCTAATAATCAACAAAACATAAATACAGAAAATATCATTTTACACATTAAATACAGAGTGTTGTCTGTTTGTTTGTTTTTAATTTAAAGGCTCAATATATCAGACAGTTGAGAATTCCAAAAAAGCAAGGCAGGTTTAAAAAAAAAAAAAAAGACGCCAAGACACCGCAACCCAAAATCCAATCATATGCCTTATCTGTCATAACCACCATGTACTTTTCACCCATAGGAAGTGTACACTGTTCAGATGGCAAAGAAGAATACAGAAATTGCTGCAGTTATTTTCAATGTATAGTCTTTTCAAAATCCAATTAAAAACTCAGTCCTGTAAGGTCTGCTGTGAAAGTAATGTCTCCTGCTTTATTATGCTGACCCGTGAAGTCAGAGGTGGATGTTGGAGGTATGGCAGTAGAGACTGACCTTTCCTGACAATAACCCATTACATTTTGTTGCTGTGTGACAGATGGCAGCAGAGGGGCAGTCTGACAAATTGTCATCTGACACAGGAAGTACGTAGGAAACACAGGTGTGGAATTGAATTCCTCCATGCGAAAAAAAATTGCATCAATTGACATTCACTGACGCTTGTTGAACATTTATGGAGACCAGACAGTGGATATGAGCACAGGGAGGAGGTGGGTGGTGACAGTAATATGAAAGTCAATCCACATTCTGCTGCACCACAAAATGAAGAGCATCTTAATCAGCTCATCCGTGTAAATCAGTGGATCACAACCACGGAACTGTATACCAAGCTGAACATCAGCTTCAATGCACTGGAAACAATGGTGGCAACAGTGGAAAATCATAAAGCTTGCACAAGGTGGGTCCCATGAATGCTCACACAGGTACAGAAAAAACACTATATGCAAGTTTGTCAGGACCTATTAAACCAATACAAGGCTGAAGGTGACTGCATCATTACCAGTGATGAGATGCTGGGTCACCACTCTGAGCTGGAGTCAAACTGGCAGCCAACGGAGTGGTGATGTGAATTCCACACTGAGGAAAAAGTTCAAGATGCAGCCCCCCACAGGTAAAGTCTTGTGCAGTGTCTTTTGTGATAGGAAAGAGGTGATCCTTCTGCATTGTCCATCCTGGACAAACCATCAACGTCAATCACTACACTGTGACACCTAGCATACTGTCAGTTTTGTCTGCCCTACCATACACACTGTATAGTCTGGATATGGAGCCTTCTGACTTCCATCTGTTTGGGCTGATGAAAGACAGACTGCATGAGCAACATTTTCCCAACAATGATGCCATTACAGCACCTGTGAAACAGTGGGTCGCCTCCGCTGGTGCACATTTTTATAAGCATAACATGCAGGTTCTTCTTCACTGCTAGTGAAAATGCATAGCTATTGGTAGTGACTATGTTGAAAAATAAAGACCAGTTAAAAAACTAGCAATGGTTCTGGATTTGCCAAGAGACTGTGAGTCCCCGGGTCAGTTTATTTTAATGTTACATACAAATAGAACTCCTAAGCTCAAGGAAGAATTCTAACCAGTGTGTCCAGAATGTATTAAAAGCTTCAAATCCCCTTTCACCAGTAACTGAGGAAGCCAACACATGCAACTGATAAGGAAATTAAGCACTTCACTTACATATTTAAAAACAACAAGAACAAACAAAAGCAAACAAAACTGGCATTTTTTCAACTTTGTCTTGGCTCAGAAAGAAACAATTTTCAAGCAAAAAGCAGATTAAGTAGATGAAAGTCAGTTAGGGTTCTCCTCCTGAGTGGAGAGCCAAGTTACTCTTCCTGAGCTATTTATTCACCGGAATTGCACAGCTGTTCCCACTGCAGCCACTGTACCCTCAGACTGCAGCTAGTACACTATACAAAACCAAAGTCAAAGCTCCCCTACAGACTGTGGTGGATCAACCTCTGCTTCCCATGCACACAACCTGTTGGCATAAGCAAACAAATGTTCAAAGTAGATTCTTCTGTGAATCAGAGACCTTGAAGAAAACACTTTAAGACACGTACTTGCAGTCTGATGTCTGCACCCACTAGCTGTGACTAACCATGTGTGAAACAGCAGGAATCTGGGCCTTACTTCCCTAGCCAGTAGAGTGGGCAGAATGTCTGATGGCAAATACGAACTATTCTGTAAGTAAAACATTATCATTTTAAAGCAGTTACTTGTCACAAGCATTCCTCATACTACTTTAGCACCTAGAACAGTTATCAAACCATATATGCCAGTGTTCAATGAAGAAAGTATAGTTAAATATAAAAATGCAAGTTAAAATGTAAATTCGTACAACGGGGTATATGTTAAAGATGCTAAAGCAAATTTGAAAATTGTAATAGAAAAATCTAATTCCATGAAGTTACAGCAGCATTTTCAGCTAATCATTTAGTTTATTATTTCAGAATAATTAGGCCACAAGACTCTACTCACAACTGACATAACATGAAGTCTGGATTTACTATGTCTGGGAAGGAAAAGAAGAAATCTGATGGTGGGTTATAAAAAAGCTTCCAGCATTTGCACTATTTATTGATTCGCAGTTATTAAACAGGAGAGAGAGTCACAATTGCAATAGAAATAGCTTTGGCACAAAGAAAGCCATTTTGCACATAATTTTATGATGGCATACATGAGGGTGCTATAGTTACAGTGAGGATTGTAGCTATAAATTTCCTGCCACGTCTGTATTTAAAAACTGAACAATTTTGCCATGGTACTTTTTCTCCCCTAATAGGAAATGATAATGAAAAAATCTTTACAAATAATAACAAAAGTCAAATATAAAAGCATACTCAACTGCAGAGTCAAGAATTCCAAATACATGTAAGATCCAACCTTGCACGAATCAATATATTCAACTCCTACACGTTAATGACCTACTGAGCATGTTCAATGTTGTACGACTGGCTCTTGCTATTGCACACTGGGTTTGCACAGCTCTGCAGTTAAACATACCTTATATTTTTTTGGTAGAGCAGCAACAACCATGATATTTAAAACTTTGTTAAAGATGCTAAATTTGTTTATTATTTCTTATATATAGCACTTCTAAGCAAATTCTACGGCCAGAGAAATATAGGGCCCTTGTTCTGTACAGTACGAACATCAGGCCAAAGAAAACACTCTCTGTTATGAAGAGTTCAGGAAAAGAAAACAGGACAATACTGATAAAAATAGCAAAGCCTGCAATGATGTTCAGTTATTTTTCATTAGGTAGGTTGTAAATCATCCTTTTTTTCTAGACTGTAATAGCACTTGTTCAATTACACCAAAACATTTGGTTCTCTCTCACCTAATGAATTGAACTAAGGGCTGCAGAAAATAAATGCCAAGTAGAACAGATTCAGAATTCTGGTGTAGAGCAATCATCTGAACAAATTTTAGTGTCTAATTTTATTACACAGATAATTACCAATTAAGTTAGTTACAAAGTATAGAAGTTTAAATTATGTTGAAAGTGCAAAGCATGAAAGTTAATCAACTTACTAATCAACTGAATCAGTGTATTCTGCAGAGTAATGTGAGTGATAGATTTCTCTCCTATAGTCCATCCTTTAATACAAAATTCCAGAAATAAAAAATGGGAAACATACACTCTGAAAATATTCCCCAGCACTAGAGCCATTCTTAGTATGGTTTTTTTATACCATAGTTTATACGACTTTGTGCATGAAAAATGAAATGAAAAAAAATGAAATATCAATGTCTTGGTGCTACTTTAATGTAATTCCTTCGTAACGAACATGTAAAGAAATCAGCATAATGCCAGAAGCAGCATTCATGCACTATACTATAGCATAATTTATGATCAATAGACACTGTTAAACACTACCAAAAAAGTTAACATTTCAGTCCATAATAAAGATTTAAAGACTGTGTCCCTAAGCAACAGAAGATGTACTATAAAAGCTGCCATTATAATAAAATGCACTCAATGTTTCTGTCTGAATAATCTACTTAAAAAAATCTTCTAATATCTTGCTTTTATAAATATAACTACAGAAAATACTATTTTAAAAGTGAAATTAAAAGAAAATTAGGCACATTTATATTTTGTACACTGTAATAAAAAGCACACACATAGGCCAGTAAAATTGAAGCAGTTATTTTCTCTTCATAAAGGCCTGCCTTTTTAACTGAGTCTAACTGCTTAGATGTTAGGCAGGAAATGTAATGGTAAGATGAATTGTTACCAAATTTAACAGGGTTCTAGATTTTTAGTTAACATAGAGATTCTTATTTAGAATATTTTTAATACAATTTCTTTTCCTCCACAATGAAATTCAGGGACTCCTTTTACTGTTTTCTTTCCTAATCAGAGGAAGAGGAACTGAAGATTCCTAGTACTGACTACATTTTTTTTAGTACTGTAATAGGGCAGAACTCTGAATTGTGGCATTATCTTGCTGTCACCTGGATCAGAGTCAAGGATACTGATAGAAATTTCAAGAACTTTTCGTTCAGAGGACTGTCTGGGTAACTCACTCCTGAAAGATATAATCCAAGAAAATTCCCAAGCCATTGACTAAGGCACAGTTAATTAAGAAGTGAACTTTAATCTAAAGGAAATTTGAACAGAAACACAACTGAATTTTAGCACAGTTCTGGAGAGAAACAAAAGCAACATGGTACTGTTACAGACAATTTCCTAATGGAAAGACATAATTAAAAGTTACATTTTCAACTTCTTCAATTGTTAGAAACTACTAAAACAGACAGAGAGCAGTAGAGGAAAACAACAGAAGACAAAAGTCTGTGCACAGTAGAGGAGATAGGCTTCTGAACAGCTAAAATCTAGCTAAATCTAGTATGACTTACTCTGATTTAACAAGACTATTTTTACAAATAGAAATTGAATTTCCTAGCAGACAGTGACTTAAGTCTGAAATCCACATGGAAATCTGGTAAAACTAAGTATTTTCTTATTAAAAAGGGCACTTTGTCCTTTGTTTTATGATCATTCCAGATCATAAAAAAGAAGTACTTAATAAATCAAAAGTGCTTCTTCAAGGAAAACTGTGGCTGAATAAAGGGCTTTATTTCCCATTAGGGTGAAAATCTGTGCTTCGCTTAACTGAACTAGGCAACCATCAGAAAGAACACCAGAAACAGTAACAAACAACAGCATCACAGCTGGAAGAAAAAGTAAGCCATTCTTGGCAAAGTATATTACAATCATTGAAATCCCAATGGGCAAAAGCAGGTTATGAGCAAGAAACATGTTTGCAGCAGTTGCCACAAAGGCACACCACCAAACACAGAAGGAGATGTGAGATATATGCTTAATCAAAACAGAGTATTAGAATATCTTCAACTATAATAAAGGAGTCAAAAATGTTCCTAGTGGATTCTCTTCTGCATTCACATAGGACAGATAGGCAGCTTTCAAGAAAGCAAGCATCTAAACCTGAACAGCAGGTCAATGTTAAACGCATACCTTCAAAGTATGAGATTACAAAATGGCCCTGTACAGAGAAGACTCAGAAGAATTAGCTAGTTTAGAAGGAACCATTCTTAGAACTCATTGTAAATAGCACTGACTTAATATTTCTGATGTAAGTTTAAAGCCAAATACGCCAGATGAGTATTCAAAAGAAGGCTGTTATAGCATTACCACTGAAGGAAATTCTGCGTATAACTCCACCAGCCAAAGTTGCTTCATTATTTGAGTAGGATTAATAAATATAAAGTTAAGCCATTCTCTTATATGAGAACCCTGTACCACCATGTTCAATGGTATAGGGTGACCATAAATGACTTAAAATGAAAATGAGCCTCAGACTAGGCCCAGAAATTGCCAGAGCAGGGAATGCAGAACAGGCACCCCTGAGGTGATCAGGCATGAAGATTATAGTGGAAGACAGTTTTATTGTAGCAGAATACAGCAAAAAGATCATGCAAAACATGACATCATGTCATGGCAACAGTTCCTCAACGTAGAAATAGTTTTCTAATCAAAAAAGCAAAGGGAAAACACTTAGTCCTTTAATGCTCCCAGGCAGTAAACAGCATACAAAGTATCAACTTCCCCCTGGTTCACACTGTAACGAGGTATAGACCCTCAAAAGGCAGAAGAAAGCTTTCTTCCTACACTGTAATTACGTTTAATTCCACTTGACTGGTATAGCTCTTTATACTCCACACTTCAGTGAAGAGCTGGAGGACAGCAAAGGCTTACAACACTATAAAAAGTTTTGTACCTATGCTTAAATTTCCAGAGGGCACAGCAAGCAAAGAGGAAGGAAGTAAAGAAAAATACAAACATCCCATTCTTTTCTCCTAGGTATTTGCAATGGCTATAGCAAAGAAGAGGGCATGTATTTCACATTAGGACAAAAGCAAGACTACTTCAGCTTCTTCACAGTGGCTTATAAAGACGTTGTGCTAGAATATGCTGTAAGTACTTGAAGGAAGAAAATAAAAAACAAACAATAAAACAAAGGATTTGTGCTTATCACCCTTCCATGAAATTATCTTTCAAAAAATAATAGCCTAATTTTTCAAGATTGGAGAAGTGTATCATAGTCTAGAAAAAAGTCAACTTTTCTTTCTTTCCATAAAACAGACAAAAAATATTGCAAAAAAAAAGACCCAACAAACAGTTCAAAGATAAAAGAAAGCAAGGAAAGAGAGATAAATTATGCCCTTTAAAGTGTAACCCAGTGACAGCACTACTATCACTAGTACAAAATGTCTTTTTTAAACTTACCTCTCCTCCATTAACATACTCCATCACAAAACACAAACGATCCTTTGTCTGGAAGGAATATTTCAAGGACTTGCAAAGAAAACAGCAAAAACAAAACAATTATCAATTTGTATTAACCTGGTTTCTTGCATTTCAATAAAATTTAATTTTATCTTCTCAACCAGAAGATTAACTTTTCAATACTGATTCCATTTTGCTGGGGAAAAAAAATGATACCAAAGAATCTACAGATGCAGATATGGCCTAAAAATTAAGAACTGTAGCAAAACAAAATCATAACACAGCTCACGTAACTTAAAATAGTTGTTTTATTAAATCAGAAAGATATAAAGATACACCTGCACTGACATCTCTGCATGACTTGAGTAGAATTACGCCTACTTCTGCTTATCTTTACACTCTAAGAAACTTCTGAAGAACTCACTGACTGAGTCCAAGAATATTTTGGCCAAGGAATGAAAATGAAGTCCTTTGCTTTATAATGGTTTTATTTTTCTACATAAGGAAGTTTCCATGTTATGCATTCATTTTTTTTTAATGGAAAAAAATACATTTTTTCCCCACCTTACAATAATTCAATCTTTTGAAATCAATGAAAAGATTTTCTAATATGTTCTCAAAGAACAAGATTAATAATTACTTCTACAGAAGTACTTTGTCATGCATATCAAAATTCTCATCTTCCTTTCAGAATTTTTTATTAAATATTAACCGAGTGAAGACAGACATTGAAATAGCAGTGGTTAAATTCTGTTGCTCCATGGGTTGTTTCTGCTGAACTAATTCTTATTTCATTTTTACTGAAATCTCTATAGATGAAGTTTTCTTTATAAAGATAACTGCCAGGTCTAATATGTAAAATCACTTTTAATAAAAAAGTGTTCATATATAAAAATTTCTGAACAGTTACATTCTACACCTAAATGTGTTTTCAGTACATTTAAGCATTATAAATTTATTAGAAACTATTTCTGAACAGTTAAATAAGTACAAAACCATTACACATCTCATGAGAAAGACTTCAAAGTCTGTCTGTAAGTTATGTCCATACTGGAATATCCAACATGTACAAAATACCTATTTAAGCTCTTAATGGCACGTAACATTTAGTTCCTAATACTTACTGTTAAAAAAGGATGTCTGGTGTTTTTCAATACTCTGCTTTCTGTAAGTGTATGAGCCACTTCATCCTAAGAAGCAAAAAATACAAGAAGTAGGTTTTAATTAAGATACAAAATTGCTGTTAGTTAACTACAAGGAAAAAGTTAATACTTCCAGAAACACAAATCTACATTGTAGATATGAAAAATGAATGAAACTGCTCAAAAAAAAAAAAAAAGAAAAAGAAAAACCAAAACACTAAAAATATTCATTTCTTTTTAGAAAAAAATGTGAAGTAAAATAAGAAGTTTGGCAACATACAATTTAACATCTTTAATTTGATTTTTCTTCTAATATTGCTTTAAAATGAAGTCTTAAAATTTACAACCACTGCAGGGCAGGAAAAAAAACATTAATCTTGGATTTGGTCTTTTAATAATATAGCCATCAGACCTGCAAAGTCATCAGAAATGCAAAGCTCTAATGTGCATCATCTGAATGACAAATACAGGCTGAAATTAAATCAGTTTGCAGGAAATGTACACAACTAGTAGCTGACAGACAATCACAGAACATAGTCTAATTTTACAGCATTTTTTTCTTTTTTAACATTGTCTTGGTGTTTGTTTTTTTTAAAATCATTCAGCCAAAATGGAAGAGTATCCATGCAAAATCCCTCCTCAACCTCTGCGCAATCCCACAGAAATCACATGAGAAGCACTTCTCTGGCCAAGCCTGCCCTGCCTCCTCGAAGCAAGCCAAAGGATGGCCAGGAAATACCCTTCCCCATTTCCAGCCAGCTTTTGAAAACGTGGCAATTCAGAGCGAGACAGTTGCACTCCCCTGTCCCTCAGCCTAAATCACAGGGGTTGCCATAAAACCCATGCCAAAGGGAAAGAAACTCAGCCCCAGTGCATACTAGTGCCTGGGAAAGCTCATCTGCCCTCTACCTGCCAGCTGTCTCTCCCTTCAGAGCCCTCTCTTGCCTTTCCCCAGGCAAAAAGGAGCCTGGATGAAGGCATCAAGGCCACAGGGACAGGTTATGGCCAGTGCTGCCCTCATATTGCCAAGGGCCTGACCTAAAAAGCCGAGAAGCACCCTGCTGGTTTTTGCCATTGACTGTGGCACTAAGCATCAGCTGTATATAGTGTTAGAGTGCTATAATGAACTGAAGACAAACGTGGTGAATAAACACCAACCATAACACCACATAAGTAGATTTATTTAGACAGAATATGCTTTAATACTGCCGCAAATAATACTAATGTAAGATTACTGTCCTGGACATGCTTATCATACTCTGAAGATAAGGTATCATTAAACTAATTTACTAATTAAACTATTATTAAAGTAAACACAGATGTCAGGAGTTTTAGTTTATGCTTTAAAAACTGTCAAAATAGGAAGTTAAAAAATAACAACAAAGTTCTCAGTAAAATTCTGATGCCATCCAGTTAAGTAGTAGTGCATTACTGAGTATAGACACTACAGCCACATACTGGGAGAAAAACAAAAAATGTTTCAAAGAGAAAAGCTATTCTAAAGAATTATTCATATAATAAAATCAAATAAATCACTTTATCTTGGATCTGACAGGCAGTCTGCAATAAGCAGTGATGTTGCAACAACAAATCCAAGAGGCTCAGCACCCATCTTTCTAATCTTCAATAATGTGGATTTAGTCTGCAATACTTCTTCAACTGGTGATGTGGATGAAATGCATATTTTCAGATTCAAACTCCAATTGAAAAAGTAGGGAGAACAGTGCACCATTCATAAACTTAGTGAATTTTATAATATGTTAATTACCTGGAGATAGAGTTAAGGGCTAATCTACAAATAAACTTTTAATACATACATATACAACATTGTAGTATATCCCTATAGAGACTTTTTACACTACAATGAAAAGGTGATTTTAATCATTACTTATTTACTTCTACCTTTTGGTATAATTTTCAATATTGTTAAAGCAGAATTTAAGAATTACACATTCCTGCTAATTTTACTATTAAGCATTAATTTGATTTGTATTTTTTAAGTTTCCAAGTGCACAAAAAATTGATTTGCTATTGACACTACTCATGTGAAAGAAGATACACTGAGACAATATTGCCTGTTTTCCATAAATCTCATTCTTCATCAGTTGTGATCTGAGTAAAAACCTACCTAAACTGCTATTGCTTTCATGAGAAGAAGAAAAAAAAAAGGAGTCCACACTTCTCTGGTGAACCATGAGGTTTAGATCAGGAAAAAAACTGAAGATTAAGCGAAACAGAAGGTGGTTTTCGTGAAGCTCAAAGAAATGTAATAATCTTTGAGGTTTCTATTCCTTATTCAAATTTAATCAAGACTGATCAACAACATTCAAAAGCTATTAGAATGAGAGTGACAGGCAGACAAACGAACAGTGAGATAGCTTGCAGAACTCTGTAACCCTTCTTTTCACTCACAAGTAGAAAAATTGGAAAAATATGACAAATATTTGAAAATACATATAATCCATAGCTGTTGTCATCCACAGTCAGCAGCTTCCAGGAACACTGGTATTATTAGCCTCAAGCCTCCAAGAAATTTCAGTCAGGCTCACATCCCTCAAAAACTTTTTTACTTAGTAATCGGAATTATTTTTAATTGTATAATGATGACAACAGAGTACTGTTCTTGTTCTCAAAGTTGTCTTAAGCAAGTAGGGTTCAAAACTTTAGCACTACAAGAAACAAACTTCAGATCTTCAAGTTAAAACTAGATAGAATTATCACCAGCTACAAGGGCCAATAATGTTACATCAATCCAATGTGACTGACAATTTCAATTTAAATAATTTCTACAGACTTCAGCCTTAGATTTGTTTTTTGTACCTCAAAAACTGCAACAATAAAATTGTTATTCCCATGCACAGCTAATCTTATCTAACAAACCAGGAACAGCATATTAAGTTAAGTTAATTAATTAAATGAATTAATTAAATTAATTGTATTTATCTGACTAAACTTGCAACTCACTTTAAAAATGTTTAGGTACATAATATACCTTACGATGCACTTTTTCTATTTATAAACTTAGACGGCACAACTTTCCTGCACAGTGAATTCTCTAAGTGCTTTAGCACGCTCTAGGTTACTGAACAGTGGAAAAAGGAGTAAAAAGATCTGTACATGTTAATTTTGTTAACTCTTGTTTTCTGAAGATACACGTATATTCTATTAAATTCAGTTACCATAAAAAAATATATATATCAAATATCACTTACTAAGATGCTGATCATTCCATTAAAAAAGAAAAAAAAAAGAAATAGAATTAAAAATACAACCTTCCTTACCTTTGCAATAATTACTTCTTTTTTCAAAATCTTCATAGCGTAGTATTTCCCACTAGCCTTCTCTCGGACCAGGATAACTTTGCCAAACGTGCCTTTGCCCAGTAGTTTTAAATAATCAAAGTCATTCATTGTCTACAAGGAGCAAAGAACAAGCAAGGATTAGCAAGATGTAAGCTATGCAGTTCCAAAATATATTCAAAAATGCTTCTCCAAACAACCAAATGGTACTACCAATATAAAAAGATCAGTTTACAAAACCTGAGCCACACACACAAATCAGTATAAAGTTGAAGTTTATGATCATAGACTTAACAACTGCCTTAACTGATCAAATTTTCCAAAAACTACTGCAGTGTGCTACAACTAGAGATGCACAAAACCAGGGAAATTACAAGTAAGTAAAAAAAAACAATTAATAATAAGCCTATATATGTATTGATACATAATTAATACAAGAAGCTTGTATTGCTTTTAAGATAAATAATTATGAAACATCTTCCTGTCAAAATGAAACTGCTGATAATTGTGAACTCTAGGAGTCTGCATCATGAACAGATTTTAGAACCATAAGACAATCTTGCTCAAGCTCAGGCGAGGTATGTAGTTCAGCTACAATTGTACCTATCTTTTTAATAATTAGCCAAAGCCTAAAATAATTACTTCTCTGTAAATATTTTTTAATTCCAGACACTGATTCAAGTATTCATTAGAAATATTTACTATGACACTACTATCCTTTCAACATAGCCTTTTGTTTATCAGGATTCTAAATTTATCTTCCATTTAATCTTTCTGCAGTCACATTCCTGCAAACTCAAACTTCAAATAATTTTGAGCTTTCTTCTTTGGTTATGAAGAAGGAGTAAAACTACAGGAGTAAAAAAAATATACTGAACCTGTACTGTATTTGTACAGAACCTATTTAAACTTTAATCCTGTTCATAAAACTGTTTTTCTTAGCTCTGCAAATAACCTGTTATATAAACACAGGACCTTTTCATAAGGTTGTAAAACACTCATTAAGTGATGGAGAGTGGGTGGAATTACAGGTTTTTTCTGCAAGGGGACAATATTGTCCCCTTGCAGAAAGCATTACCATCAATCTGTAAAGCTACTCCAATGACACAAATATCAATAGTTAGTAGTAGGTTTTTAATAAAATTTGAAGGAACATTATTATTTATACTCTTAAATGAAATATTCAATCTAATAGAAATATTTATTGTGTCAGCTAAAATAGGAAATACAGGAAAGTGTCAGAAAAAAACAGTGATAAGGAAATTACACGTATTTTAAAATAAACAGATCAGACAGAACAAAGTATGAATAACAAATTCATATAAATCTCTTCAGGACAGACTTTCAAGATGACTTTCATTCTGTGTATTATATATCACCTACTACATTGACAGTTTCTAAAATATTATTTATTATTATTATCTAACTCCTCTTAACTACCACAAAACACAAGGGGAGCATTAGGGGAATAAAGAAAGAAATGATGAAAATGTACATGGATTGTCACTACAAGCTAAAATTTTAGTTTTGTTTGAATTCTTTCAATTAAATGTGCATTTCCACTCATATTCATAGCTAGGGATTCCAATAGCAAAATACAAAACAAGTAACAGGCTCTAATATGGGAAAGTCCCAATTTACAGAAAAACAGATCTATTGCACATGTGCATGCATGCGTACTCATAAACATGCATACAAAACTTTCTCTTATCTTAGCTAAGTCCCTCTGTTGTCCCACTGTTGACTGGTCAACAAGCATAATTTTTTGCTTGTATCAAGTCAAAAGAAATACATTCAAGGTCACATGTTCTAGCTTGGGAATTTCTGAAACTTACTCCATTAAAGAACATTCTCAAAATATTCTTCTTCTTACTCTTAACAGGTATAATGAATACGTAAAGCTGTGATCCAAGCACTACGTGGCAACTGCTATTCCATCAACTGAAGGGAAGATTTCTCAAATATCACAGTCAGTATTTTGGAAAGTCAGGATATCTACTTTGATAGTTGTATGATAACCACCAAGCTAAAAGAAACCACCTTTAAGTTAAAGCATTGAAAACTGTCAAAATTCACATGATAAGTTCCCAGGCTGGATGTGACTCTGCTCTGGGCAGCCTGGTCTGGTGGCTGGCAATCCTGCCTGTGGCAGGGAGGTTGAAACTAGATGATCATTGTGGTCCTTTTCAACCCAGGCCATTCTATGATTCTGTGAAATTCAAAATGCATTTAAAACACAATTCAGACAGAAGATGAGTAATTCAGAGCACAGTTCACCCTAACTTCAAACTGCATTCCTCACACAGAAAGGCCAACAGCTTTTATGACAAAGAATACCTAATGAACATAAAAGTTCATCACTTCTAACTGTCAAAAATTTGTTGGATCATAAGCTGCAAGGAAGGGGTAACTTTTTCCATAATTCCAATCATCCTTGAGAGGCTGAACTTAGAGAGAGACCATCTGAGTTTGAACAAAGACTAGTATAATAGCAGCCCTTTGCCTGTACACAGAAGGATATTGGCTCAACTGACCACAGACATAGGTTTGATGCTAAGGGCAGCAAGCCAGTCAAATTGAAACTCATTTGCCTAAAATTTGCTTACATCATCCATCAAAGCAGTCATGAATCTAGCTGCAACCGTGCTAAAAACAGATTTTTTTAAATGCAGATTTATAATAGGAAGGTAATAGTTCTGAGAGATTTTGAGTCGTTGCTTAACAGCAGGTTATGGTAGCAGTGATAGTTCTAAGAATAAAGTATCCTGATGCTGTCATTCTTTAGAAGCTTAGCAGAAGGCTTAGAGATGATATTCAGTGCAGGGTAACTCAAAAAGTCTGCCAAAGAACACAAGACCTTGAGAGATAAAAACACAGATGCCACAGTTAAGAGTGTACTGAAAACTGGTGAAAAAATTGAAATATTTCCTAAACCTGAGAATGTTGGTAAGCAAGTTTGGAGACTTCCGTAAGATTGATTTCTGTTTTCTTCTTAATTTTTCCACTTTTTTCATTCCTACTGAACCCTGAAAAGTGAATTTTTTTACTCATTATGTTGTACTTTGGCTTCTCTGAAAAAATCCATTCTTTATTCATGCTGAACCCTGAAAAACAAATTCACAAACAAATAACAGAAAACTGTCCAAAGAACTACATGATATTCAGTTTTCTGTAAAGCCTCTTTACTCCTGCTATATATGTTCTTTTCAAAACTATACACTTTACTACGGTTATTGAAATTCCTACCAATCGAAAACTACTTTTAAAATACTACTGATATACACAAGGAGTATATTACTGGGAATTTTCATCTGACTTCATCAGAAAGAAATTCTACTTAACAGAAATAGTCTAGCAAGGAATAAAAGCAGTTCGCTTATTGTGTTTTGTAACTGAAATGTTAGTGATGCTATTACTGTAGAACTTAAGTGGCACACTGACACCACTGGAAGAACTGCAAAATAAAAAGGTGTATTTGGTTCTTCCAGATAATACAGACAGAGATGTTGCTGCAGAGATGTTGCTGCCAGGCTGTTCAAAGCAAGTTCAATTACTTGAAGACTGTTTTCTTTGTAAACCTTTTTTTTTTTTTTTTTCCTAAGAGAAGAAACAGGCCCACTTCTCTCTGTCTTGCTTCTTAATCTGATTATGCTCTTCTCATATGAATATCATCTGGTGTGTGCACAAGCAAAATTCATTGTGTGCAGATACAAGATCAGGTGACAAAAAAAATTTTTTGGACACAATATGCAAAAAAAAATTCTTGAAATCGAAAGAAACCTAATATTAAAAAGGCAACACATTAAGCAGATATAACTGAAGTGGTTCTGATTCTGTTAACAAATACAAATGCTTAAGCAGAAGCTTTTCAGAAACAGTTCCACAAAAATCTATTTCCTCTAATTTCAATTAATACAAAGGGAGCAACAAGGGAGTCCCCTTTATTATGGTCACTCAGGAATGTTATTAAAAAACCTTTTGAGCACTTTTTGCTAAGTCCTCCAAAAGTTTTAAATCTGAAGTGGGATTTTGAGTTTTGGCAGGAAAAAAACTTCCTTGATGCTATCATTGTGCTTTTCAGTGGCTACACACACTTCATCCTGAGCTATCATTAGGTGTTGAATATCACCATTTTTTATTTCACATTTGATTTGTAGTTTGCTCTTGGCTTGCTGACAAATACATTATATATTTTATAGCACAGCGCATGCACTGTCCTGGAATTTTACTTGGGTTCTTAAAGTGTAAGTAGCAAGAAAGAAACAGAACTGATCTTCCACCTACTCTTATTCCCACAACCCTTTTGTTGTATGGGAAAAGCACTGTGAACAAGGAGAGCATACGTTCTAGATAAACAACTTATATTAGACCACATTTATTTTGACACCTTGAAAACACTTGCTGTTATGCAGTGTTTTTGTACTCTACTAAGAGGATACACAAGTTTGGCATAGTGGTCAGATCTTTAAAAGAGCAAACCCAGATACCCTCCACATAATCACACTGCCTCTCACAAAGACTGACACATCTTGAACACAGCCTCCGTCTTGCTGTCACTTATTATATTTTACCCTGGAGCACAATCACTAAATCTCTATGTTGCAAGGCTAAAAGTTCAGTGTCAACCTCTCCAACCTGACAGTTCATGATGAGAGTATTGTCATGCCTGTATATGATTAGTTTTTCTTTTTTAAGAAGTGAAAAAAAGCATAGAAAATTATGTACAATGAAACTACATGAAATAACTATGGTTGTACTGCAAACTCATGTTCTAAAAACATAGGAAATGACAGAATTAAGATTTCCTGTAACACCCTATTCTTAAGGACACAGCTGTCAGCCACTGATCTTTCTATAATTCTTGCCTCATAATTCTTGCAATGTTCAATATTCCTTTTCACTGTCCATCATTAAGAGACATTCTGTGACACTAGCTGTAAGATTATTTTGCTGTCTGCAGACTTCCACTTAATTTTCCACAGGTTTCATTTTGTAGCTAGAATGAATGAAGCCAATCCTATTAGAATCATGTTATTACTTCTCATGTGATTTCAGTGCATTTTTTGAGTCATGTCACTCTTGCCTAACAACTGAGAAACATCCACTCGAGTTCCTCATTATTCTTCAAGAGTAGTTTGTACATCCAGAAACATAGGACAAAATGGAAACCCAAAATAATAAGCAAATTTTACATGAGACAATATTTGAAACATAATGTGTTTATCCTGTTGACTCTGGAGATATAACTACAAGCATGCTATAGACAGCAGTGTACATATTCCTACTTACTGCAGAAGCTGTGAAGGATTCCAAAGAAATAAGATACTGTTTTCACTGAAAATTAAAGCAAAGTTCTTTTCCCAAAGAGCAAAAAACAAGGTCAATAAAAGCTAAATTCTGCTATCCTTTCTCATGCATATCATCTAATCTGTATTGGGCATTATTTGCATGAGAAAGTGGGCAAACACTCTTCTAAAGAAAATATTTTATTCCCATACTTCTAGAAGAGTAAACAAACATAAGGGGAAAAACAAAAATAATATTCAAAAAGCAAGCAGATTGTTAACGTGTGCCTGAATGGTTGAACTCTGCCTTTGAAAGGTGGTGTACCAGACAGTATAACAAATAAAATTAGAGCAGTGCAGCTTTATTGAAATAAGTATGTACTTCCACGCTTGTAGTACACTGAAATTTATGTAAAGATATTATTGCTTCTATATCCTACTAGATCACTTTGCAGAAGTTACTTACATATTAATCTTCTTAGTTATTTTTGAATGTCATTACCTTTCTTTTATGATGAGTTGTTGAAGCATCCATCTCCTCTTCACCTATATTGTCTATTTGTGAAGTTGGACTACAGTTCATCCTTTCCTCTTCCTGCCTCTGAAGTCTGTCTGCTACAGCCTGGATTGCTTCTGTCCATTCTTCCCTATCATGAACAAGTAAACAATACTATCAGAAACTTATAAAATTCATCCAAATAATTTGTTTATATAGTTTTTTTCACATGCTACATTGCTCCAAAATGCAGTTCTCATGTCACACAGCAGAAGTCTCATACAATTTAATATTTTCAATTTCCTTCCATATTCTGCATGATAGATGAGGTGCTAAGGTTGATCAGTATCAAAAAGAATCACTGCTTAGTTTATTTCAAGAATTAACAGTCTCTGATTTTATAAATACTTAAATACTAAAAACTTGAAAATTTTTGTCAGAGTTATAACACTACTCAGAGCTTAGTATGTCATGTCCTACCTGACACACAGTATATGACAACAATCTAACCAAGAGAATGTTCCTCCTCACTGTAAGAAAATAACTAAGATTTATTAATCTACAGTGTGTGTTCAACTCTGTCTATTCCCTCTTAATGCTGAACTGTTTGGCCAATTTCAAATTCCCTTGAGAATCAGAGGTTCTCAAAGATAATTAAATTCCAAAAAGCATCATGAAAACGACAGAATTTAAATGATAGAATTTTAAATGGTGTAAGTGAATATACTAATAAAAGAAGAAACAATACAAAAATAAAAAATCATTAGTTATTTATTAGTATAAACAGTAAGACCATGGGGCAGTTTACTCCATGCTTGACCTAATAATGCCTGCTGATGGGGTCCACCTGGGTCAGAGGGGGAAAACAATTCTGGCCCAGAAGGTGTTTGGGCTCACTGACAAGGCATTAAACTAGGGTTGAAGGGGGTGAGAGCGAGCCTGCCCACATCCTGGTGTGAGACAGTAAAGCTAAGTTAGAGAGACAAGGTGCTAGTGTCCCAGCTGGGGCTTTTTAGAAGGGATAGGTGAAGGAGGAGAAGTGGGATAGTTGCCCTGTATGTTAAGAAGCTGATAGACTGCAAAGAACTGTCCCAGAGAAACACTCAAGAACGGATTGAGAGCTTGTGGCTAAGAATAGGGATAGGTGGTGGCTGGTGTCTACTACAGGCCATCTCATCAAGGGGAGCCTATTGACGAGGACTTCTTGCATTAGCTACAAGAGGAATTGTGATTGGAGGCTCTCATCCTGGTGGAGGATGTCAACCACCCACGGATCAGCTGGGACAACAACATGTGAGCTGCAAGCAATCCAGAAGACTCCTGAAGTCCATCAATGGTGACTTTCTGCTTCAGGTACTGGTCAGACCCACCAGGTGCTGGACCTGGTGACTGTAAAAAGAGGTTAAGATCAGAGGCAGTCTGGGCTGCAGTGACCATGTCCTAGTCAAGTTCATGATCTCGATGAACATGGGCCTGGCAAAGAGTGGAGTCAGGATCCTGAACTTCAGGAGAGAGAACTTTAAGGAATTGTTGGATGAGATTCCCCGGGAAACTGTCCTTAAGGAAAAAGAACAGAACTGGCCGCACCCTCTGAAATGCCTGAGAGCGCAAAAGGGCTCCAACTCCCAGAAGGAGAAATCAGGCAGACAAGGCAAGAAACCAGCACAGCTGAGCAAGGACCTGCTGGTCACGCTGGGAGAAAGGAGGAAAAGTATAAGCAGTGAAGTGGGGATGGATGGCCTGGGAATAATACAGGGATGCTGTCCAGATGTGCAGGGATGGGTTCAGGAATGCCAAGGCATAGAAGGAATTAAACTTGGCAAGGAATGTGAACAACAAAAAGGGTTTCTTTAGTTACTGTGGGCAGAAGGGACAGGCAGAGAGCGTACCCCCTCTGATAAATGGGAAGGGAGAGCCAGCTCTTCAGACATGGAGAAGAGTAAGGTACCTAACAAGTTCCTTGCCTAAGCCTTAACACGCATTCTCACGCTTCTTGTGCCCCTGAACTTCTAAGCGGGAGTCAGGGGAGCAAAATTCCTCCCACTGTAAGAGTAGAGCAAGTTCAAGACCGTCTCATGAAGCTGAATGTGTACAAGCCTACGGTGCCTGATGACATGCATCCCAAGATTCTGAAGGAACTGTCTGATCTGGTTGTCAAACCACTTTCCATCATATTTAAAAAATCGTGGCTGTCAGGTAAAACCCCCATGACTGGAAAAAGAAAAACATCGCTCCCATATTAAAGAACGGGAGAAAGGAAGATCTGGAGAACTACAGGCCACTGAACCACACTTCTGTAGTTGGGAAGGAGCAGATCATCCGAGGAAACACGTTAAGGCACATGCAAGATGTGAAAGTGATCTGAGATGGCCAACATGGCTTCACCAAGGGCACACCAGGCCTCACTAATCTGGTAGCCTTCTATGATGAGGCCAGGCTCTTCTTGGTGGAATGTAGCTATAGGACAAGGAGTACATGCAAAATAATTTCTTTACAGTAAGGGTGAAGGAACACTGGAACAGGTTGCCCAGAGAGGCCGTGGAGTCTCCTTCTCTGGAGTTATTCAAGACCCATCTGTATGCCTATCTATTCAATCTATTGTAGGGAACCTGCTTTAGCAAGGGAGCTGGACTCGACCTCTTGAGGCCCTTCCAACCCCTGCAATTCTGTGATTCTGTGAAGAACTCACTGAGAGCAGCCCTGCAGAGAAGGTGTGTTCTAATGGTCAAAAAGCTGGACACAAGCCAGCAGTGTGTGCTTGCAGCCCAGAAGCCCAATAATATCCTAGGCTGCATCAAGAGGGGTGTCCAGCAGGGAGAGGGAGGTGATTGATCTTCTCTACTCTGCCCTTGCGAGGCCCCATCTGGAGTACTGCGTCCAAGCCTGAGGCTCCCAGTACAGAAAGGATGCCGAGCTGTTGGAGCAGGTCCAGAAGAGGGCCACTAAGATGATCAGAGGGCTGAAGTACCTCTCCTGTGACTAAAGGCAGAGGGAGCTGGGCTTGTTTAGCTTGGAGAAGAGACAGTTCCAGGGAGACCTCATTGTGGTCTTCTAGTACTTGAAGAGAGCTTAAAAGCAGGAGGGAGACTGACTTCTTACATGATAGGACAAGAGGCAATGACTTTAAACTAGAAGAGGGAAGATTTAGGTTAGATGTTAGGACGAAATTTTTTACTTAGAGGGTGGTGAGGTGCTGGAACAGGTTGCTCAGAGAGATTGTGGATGCCCCATTTCTGGAAGCATTTAAAGCCTGGTAGAGTGGGATCCTGAATAGCCTGACCTAGCAGTTGGCATCCCTGACCACTGCAAGAGAGTTGGAACTAAGTGATCTTCGTGGTCCTCTCCAACCTAAGCCAATCTGTGATTCTATGAATAAAGCCAAATCATAGTATTGACCTCAAGAGGACAGGTGCATTCAGTGGGAAGACACAGTACATCTAACCAGAAAAACAGAATGGAATATTTTAGTGAGATACACCATCACATATCTCCCATACATTTCCATGCTTTAAAAAAGTTAATTCTTGAGAGTGTGTTTATGTTTACTGACAGAAGAAAAGCTAATAAACACCATAAAACAAATTATAACAAACATATTGCTTTCTGTGCCAAAAAGAACACATTAAGAAGAGTAAAAGGAAAATCTAAGACAGTAAAGCTGAAAAATACTCCAAAGCAACCTTCTATTGTTCAAAATTTAACACTTTGGAGACATGTCATGACATAGTTTTGGCTTATTTGAACACACTCATCCCACTTGCAGGCAATTCGCAGACTAGATATGAGCTCGGATTATATTTTACAGAAGCTGACTTACAAATAGCTCAAATAACTGTTCAGAAGTGCTTGGAATGTCAGAATTCTGCATACTGACTACTGAGCAATCCCAGCTGAGACTGTTGAAAACTGTGCATAACCAAGACTGAAAGAGAAAGAAAAATAAAATTCTCACCGTTCCTCCGGAGTGTCTACGTGGAATGTCCTCTCTATGACAGTGGTCCATTGAAGACATCTGATAATAAATGTGTTTGGCTTTGGTCGCTCTGTTTTCATTAGCTGACATTCTAGAGAAATACATTACATTTCACCCTTTATAGTTTTCTGGGTAATGTGTGAAAAGCAAATTACTTAGGTAAGATACATATAACTTACGTATACCTAGTCAGCAATACAACCATGGGCTTGAACATGAGGAAGAAATAAGTCAGAGGTATTGATGGAACTTGTACTGTTCCCCATATAAAATGTCATCTCCATTTGCAAATTAGGTCTATTACAAGGGTGAGAGTATTAGATCCCAGATTGCTCCAGTAGGGCAAGGTAACAGCAGTAGCCAAAGGCACAGTTTTCCATCTGTACCTGGCAGGAGTATGATGTTTTTCCTTCAATGGTAATCATGCTGCAATTACCAGGGCACCATCACCTCACGATTAGATTTATTGTAAAATATCTTATCTGGGAGAATTCAGATGCTGAAATCAGTCTGATTATTAAACATAGAATTACCACCCACATGCCCAGCAGGGCTGCCCCAGGAAGTCAGCTGCTTGTACTTAGCACTAAAAGGCAGAAACAGGTCTATCTAGGCTGTTTCCCTCAAATATTTCTCTAAACACTTCCTACAATTCCCCAAAATAGTAATTTCAAATCTCTGCAAGCAAACTAATTTTTCCTAGCATTTTAGGAAATAATTTAAGCATTCTTGTCCTTCCAACCAATTTATTCTCTTCTTCAAGCAGCTATTTCTTTTAGACATCTGAAGACTATTTTGTCTCTCTTCAGTCCTCCCTGGCCTAAATCAATTAAGCCAGTCGGTGCTCACAGGTTGTGCTTTCATATCCCAGATCTTTTCTGACACAGAAATCTAGACACAGAGCAGACAATCTTCTATTCCCCTGTCACAAGAGCACAACACTGTTAATTCAGACAGGTTTGATAAGACTTGATGTTTGATGTTATATTTTACAACATTGCACACTACACTAAAACATTACATTTGTATGATGCAAAACACTGAAAACACTGACCTACTCTCACCTACTAAAATTTTTTATTCATGCAAACATGATTTTATTTATTTATTTATTTACTTATTTTGTGAAGTTAAGGTTACTCTGTCAAAAGAGTGATTTGCTGTCCTGCAGCTACCATAAATCTAACACAAACATCACAGCCCGCATTCTGGTAATTCAACAAGAATGTGATATAAAGTGACTGATCCAGTAAACAAAATCAATCAATAATGAAAACAGCAAATGATTTCCTGTTCATTTATGATCAACTGTAACTTTCTTTTTATAGAGCTGCAACCTACCAGCTAGCCCACATCTTTCCCTGATGAAGTTGATGGTGTTGTCTATAACTTACCATAAAACCTTGCCCTTCATTCTTGGAGAAATACATTTTATTTACTCAAGATAATGTCAGTATTTTACAGAAGTCACATTATATCGCATGTACCACTTTTCAAGGCAGTTTGTTTTTTCACGGAAGTACTTTATCTTGGCTTTCTTTTTTTTTTTTTCCATAAATTCAGAGTCCTGACACCTCAACTATCACCCATAATTTTACAGGAATATGTTTTAAATATTGTTTAAGGAACTGCATCAGATCAAGTGAATTTCTAAATACTCAACATACTTCGGTGTCTACTAGTCTGTTTCACTTTTCCCTCTTATGCCTGTTGTGAGTGTTAATTGTACAAATAGCATACGCACAGCAGACCTTCTGAAATGCAGATACAAACTGAAAACACAATAAAGCAATTCTCTTTTATATCACTAACATATAACAAGCTTAATGCCTTTGCTCGAGGTATTAATTTGCATACATGAAGATCTAAAGAACACTATCTGAGAAGTGGCCTCTGACTGTTATCAAGCAAGTGTTATCAGACTTACTCGTGCTGCATCCTCAATACAGACAGGGAAGTTCTGACATTAGAGGGTTCTCTGTGATTTAAGAACTGTAGCACAAGCTGACATGTTTTGTTTTGTTTTTTAAAAAAGGAAAGTGTTACAGTAGGATGGACATGGGAAGTAGGAACAAAAGGTGGAAGAGAAACAAGGACAGAAGCAGATGAAGGGAACATAGGGACCATGATGAAGTGAAGCTACTTAGGATATATAGTAGGATCACAGCTGGGTGCAAGTACTGTGAGATCAAAGGAACTCCTCTCCTCAGGCATACAGTTGAAACTCAAGTTACAACGACAGTGATGGAGGCTCTAGGAATAATACACTATTTGTTTTCTTAAAATTCTCAAGTGCAGCTTTAAGAAATGCACAGGTCTACTTTTATAATGGAAGACTGCACGCATGTCTGTTCTAGGATTACCCGATCCTACATCTGACTAAACCATTCTCTCATCTTTAATCCCATCACACTTCAATCATGTAGGCTGAAACTTCCTTTGCTCGATGTTTGCCTAAAGCTGCACACTGCTGGAAAATACTATATTTTGGAGACAAGACTTAAAACTTAAATCAAGACCTTCCAGTATTCCTACAAAAATGTAACACAACTGTCCATTCTATCTATTCTTTTCTCTGCAAGAGAGGAAAGAGCACAGGGGAGATTGGTTAAAAAAAAAAAAAATTGCAATAACACTTACTAAACCACAACATTCTTAAAAATCGGTGCAGTAATCCAGAGGCTACAGCAATCTCCTATCTACATATCTGCTGAATGGAGAGCTCCTTCTCCTAGCTCGTACTGGCTCTTCCTACCCTCAGACAGTACAAAAAGGAAGCTACCCAGTTAAAGTAAAATCAAATCCATACAGCAGAAATAATTTTAAAGAAGAGACATCAGAACAAAAGACGAGGGAATAAAAGCAAACGAGTGTAAATGACAAAGGAGAAAGACTGCAACTGGTGTGGAAAATAAACACTAGGGGGATAGAAGAAGGCTCATTAGATCAGCAGCAAGAAATAGCAGCTAGAATGGAGAGACTGCAAGAGAGAACTAGAGAACTTGTTAAGATCAGTTTGCATAATTAATATATTATCTATATATTTTTTGTATGTTCATCCATGTAAGTCTGTACCAAGCTATATATGTATTACTGGTACTACATATTAATTTTTCTTCAGAGATTTCTCAAAGTGATGGTGTGCTTCATTAATAAGAACAACTACTTTAGCCGTGGATGCATATACTAAGATCTGTAAATATCACAGAGTCCTTAACTCGCACAGATTTTCATTACAGATCATCAAGATTTAATTGAACTTGTTGATCATCTATAATGATAAAATAATATAATAAAAATATAACAAAAAAGGCTGAGGCAAATGAAAAAGGAAATGAAAACATTTTAAAAATGCCATTTGAATATGTTAGAAGGATGCTACTGAAAAATAATATCAAGCAAAGCTTACAGAGCTTTTCGAAATATTCTATTAAAAGTGGCTAAATATATAATTTCCTTTTATAAGGAAAAGTGAATACATAAATGTCCTCAATCACTGAAACAAAAAGAGTTTTGGAAAGAAGTGGAGAACTAGTATATTTCTAAAAGTGGTGTGTGCTACTCAGCCTGCTGAAGTACATAAAAGTAACTGAAGTCTGCTGATATTTAGTCACTCACATGTTTCACAGGCTGCTGTATACAAATGTATGGGATAAACAACATTCCTACCACGACTGCAACATGAATAAAAATTTGTTTGTGCATGTCTTTCACCTAAGGGTAAGAAAACAAATAAATCTATTAAGATGAATAAGTACTCTAATACACACTTACTGCTAATTACCAAAATATTTTTCTACTAATTACTGGAAAAAAATGTAGTAGTTTTAGACAGAATAGTTTGGAAACTACAAAAGCATACAAGAATGAGTGAAACTGGCTACTGAAAGCTGGCTCAGAAAGCTTGAGTGATAGTTGGGTCATTACCAAAAGGAGAGAACACTCTACCATAATGTCTTCAAGTTTGCTACTATACATAAACATATGTAATTAAAGGGCTGAATCTCAACTCCAAACAGTTGGAAGTCTAAATTATCATTCAAAAAGATGAGTAAGCCAGTAAACAGACAGACTCAACTTTGTGTTCTTGTATGCTAGCCATCTACAACTTGGAATTACATATTTTAATCCTAAAGCTTTCTGTTTTGCTTGGGATTAAACATCAGTCATGAAAAATTTCCCCCTTAATATTAGAGGGGATAGAAAGCCTTGAGGCAGAACATTTGTTCAAAGCAGCACAATACAAAATCAGTTACAGAAATCAACAACTCAGTTCCAACAAGTTTGTAGTACTTGGTTGGCCATTTTTGGATCTGTAGAAGAAATGGAAAAATGAAATGGAACCAGATTAAAGAAATGCAATGCAAGTTTCTCAATTATTGATTTTTTCTTTTAATTAAAAAAGGAGGTTAACCAGATGTAAATTTTATCTCCATATCCACAAACAATCTGATAATTCTAAAACGCTAGGCTATCTTTTCCAAATAAAATGCACTATCTAAATTAAATAGTTATGCTAGTTAAACTCTCCTGAGCAGCTCTAACTACAAACTGTATTTCAAAACGTTCTGTTTACTTTACACCATTCTGAACCACAGATGACAAAGTTTGCTTGAAGCGGTAATTACTCTGCAAAGCTGGGAAGCCAATTAGAGGGCCTGAAACCTGCCAGTTCCAAAAAAAAAAAAAAGAAAAGAAAAAAAAAGCACAGATCATCTGTTCAGATTTTATTAAAAAGTTTAAAGTTTGAATTCTATAACTTTAACCATATAATCACCAGTGTTCTTTTCCTAAATGCATTCATTCAGCATTAAAAAAAGAAAAACAAAGAAGGAATACTAGTATCTATTACTATTTCATATAAGGAAGCTTTCATTTTCAGCAGAATTTGTTGGTAGAGTTAGACAAGTATGTTAAACATATAAAAATTTTCACCAAAAAATGAACAGAAGGTTGCATATGTGAGAAATTATTTCTAATGCAAACTGAGTTTTAGCACAAAGGAAAACTTCCTATGATTATCATATGATATAAAATAAATAGTATTGAACTGCTGATGGCATTTTTTAGAACGTATATGCATTTTTATTT